AGTAAAGAGTAAAGAGTAAAGAGTAAAGAGTAAAGAGTAAAGAGTAAGTACAGGTTCATTAAACTTGATTGGGTCACAATAGGAAAATTTTGCTTTCAATTTAGTCGTGTACTTGGTAGCGTAGCTGATTGCGCATGTTAACCCAGAGCGCGCGTGGCGCTTAAACCATGGCTTACGTGATGCGCAGAACGTGCGCGCACTAACAAAAGTAGGCACCGTGCTTAGAAATATTTAGAAGTCTTACTTACCAGTTTCGGCCTGTAAATCCAGCACAATAACTCTGCACCAGTCCAGAATCACTTTCATACAGATGACTTTGATCAGTGGACATCAGCAACAGCTTGTGGTTGTAACTTATGGACTGTTATCAAGATATTACAATTTTGTTAAAATTTAACGTTCGGCTTTGAAGAAATATCCAGGCAATTTATCAAAACGGAATGATAATAATAATCAGTATTGATCGGACGAGNATCAAGATATTACAATTTTGTTAAAATTTAACGTTTGGCTTTGAAGAAATATCCAGGCAATTTATCAAAACGGAATGATAATAATAATCAGTATTGATCGGACGAGAAAATTCTCGAACGTGAACTTTTCTCACCTTGATTAATGGCAGAATGCATTAAAGTTCTTTTCAGTTTAGCTGAGATCATTCCCCAGTGAACAAAATACCATAGGTTTTAAATTCCCTGCAAGTCGAGGAAATTGGTTTTCCAGGACTTTGAAGTTGAGACAGCAAGGCGACGAATCGTTATTTCGCGCCAAAAGAGGCGCGCGTGCACCAACTTTCCCGCCATTCTTTAGCCTGGCGCCCGCGTTGAATTTCAAAGTAAAATCCTGTGAAGCGAATTTATGTCAAGAAGGATTCATGAGTCGGGCACAGAAGTGAGACTTGGCGGTTAAAATTTTGATTTCTTAGGGGTTTTAAACCTCGAAATGTTAGATATTGACACTGTAGTATATTTTTAACGCCGAAAAGTAGTCTTGCTCAGTTTACGAGTAACAAACGTGTGGTCGAGAAAGCGCTGTTTTTTTTTCTGACAACATGAACCACGATAGCGTAGATGACATCGGAAAAGCTTCAACTTTGTTGCAAGGTGAGCATATTCTTACATCAACTTTTCCTCGTCATGTCTGAAATTTATATATATAATGGTAAAGATAGTTGTTATCCTAACTAAGCTTAATAAAGAAATCAATGTTCTAAAAGTTTCGATATCTGAGCTGTTTCATTCAAGCATTGTAATGTTTTTCCTATGGAAAGCTGCAAAAGATATATTACGTGTGCTAAGTTCTTTTTTTTTGTACACTTCAACAGCTCTTGTCAAAGACTTGCGTCAAAATCAAAGCAATGAGGAACGTGTGATAGCTTTGGCTGATCGTATAACTAACTTGACGAACAGAATGCATCAATTGTCGTTTGATAGAACTGAAAATAACGCAGCGTTGATTCAGACTCACAGCTGCGCTGTCACAATGTGGAATATTGCTGTGGCAATGAAGACTGGTGGCGGACAAAGTGGAACAACTTACAACGCAAAATGTAAGCGTCTTTGTTTTTTGAACACTTTTACTAACAAATAACGATCACTTATTACTTACAGACATTTCAAATAGTGAACATTGCTCGAACAAACACTTTCTAACCCATTTTCGTCGCTCCTGTGAGTAGAGCATAAGATAAGGCTACGTTTAAACAAGCAAGTCAAATTTCATAGGGTCTTCCCTAAAACCAGCTAAGCCAGGTGTGGCTTCTTCTTTAAAGTTGTCCTATTTATTTTCGCCAAAAAAGTTAGGGACTTCAAAATGTGGTCTCCAGGCTCTCTCGGAATTGCGCGGAATGCCTGACACAAAAATTGCTCGGGAGTGCATAGTCGGAAATTTCAGTCACTTCCCACCTTCACGATTTCACTGACTTGTAAGCATGCTTTGGAAATACTTATATGTGATGTAACAGTTATTTCTTTTTTGATTTTATTTGATTTTTATTTATTTATTTATTTTTTTGCGTCAGTATGACTGCACAATGACTTCATTTTGCTTCAGAATAGACAAGCTTGGCCAATATCACTGATATTTATGAAATAGTAAACATGTACCGTGTTTCTATCGAGTTATAGAAACACGATTTTTAACCAATCACCGCGCGTATTTTCTTAGGGCTGTTTTCTAATGCAATATGATGTATCTATTTTTTATTCTAGTGCGGCATGCAGCTTGTAAGCTGTCATTTTTGGCTAATGCTACTGAAACGAGTGAAGTCACCTTTAGGAAACAGTTAGTGGTGAGAAAATTATTGTTATATCAATTTCCAGATGTTTTAGGTTTATATATAGCTATATAGACATTTGATGGTTTGGTACGAACATATGAATCAGCAAACATTTCAGTACAGTAGTTCCAACAACCAAGGCAAATTTAACATCTTCACTTACCAACTTCGCTTAACTGTGGTACTTCCTAATGTAGTTTGGAATGTACAATACCTTTTTTTCAGATACTATACGTTCCAAACTACATTACTGAGGTAGTTAGGTACTACAGCAGGCAAAGCTGATAAATGAAGATGTTAAATTTGCCTGGGCTGTTGGAACTACTGCACTGAAATATTTGCTGATTCATATGCTAGTAGCAAAAACACTACAGATTATCTGCAAAGTTACGAAGCATATATCTGAAGCAGTAACTGATCACAAATTTGAGGAGATAAAAAATCTGAAATTATGTCTTTTTTATTTAGATGACCACAAAAACAGGGAGAGCTTGGCTGGGTGAGTTTGCTGAGAAACAAAAAAGCATGCCAAACATTTTCATATTGCAAGGCTATCAATTCTTTTTCCTCCAGTTTACTTGATTGTTTTGTTTAGATTGTCAGAATCCAACCATGGCAGAGGAATCGCTTGCCTTAGCATCTGAGGCAAGTATTAAAGTTATTGCTGCCAGTTTGATTAACTAGTAATTTGTTAGCGGATAATTCTATAATTATATCCAGGATAACTGTCACGATTAATAATAAAGTAAAAGTAAAACTTTATTTAAACAGGGTAGCCCATTCAGGCTCAAAGGCTGGTATCCATAGGGGCCCTGTATAAATAACATCAGGTTAAATATACAAATTTATGTACACAGATTAAAACTTTCTGACTAAAACTGTGTTAAAAAATCTATTCACAGTACTAAAATACTAAGAGAAACCACTAAGAACTATTACAACTAATAAAAACCCTTTTGCACGGCAGGCAGCATAAACTCTGTATGCCTTTGGCTTTTGTTATGTCGGTGGGCAGCTCATTAAAAATTTTCGCTCTGCTAAAAAGAAACCTGTTTTTCCCAAATAATTATAATTATTATCCATCAAATATTTTTGCTCACATGCGGTTGGTCTAAATGCGTCACGTGACTGAATATTCCCCAGCTGAAACTGGG